GAATTTGGATGCTATACCAGTTGGTAATATGTGTTTAATATTGATATTACTTCATTGTCTTTGATACCTTTTAGCAAGATGTAGTTTCCTTCCTTATCTCTTTTAATTAGATCTGTTTTTGCTTTTCCTTTGTCTGAGATCAGAATTACTATCCTTGGTTTGCTTTTTTTTAACTTCAGCTAAAGCATAATATATTCTACTCCAGGCTTTTACCTTTACTCTGCGTGTCTCTATTTCAAACATTTCTTGTGAACAACACATTGTAGGATTCTGGTTTTACTATTTGCTTTCATTTTATGAGAGAGTTCATCCCATTCACATTCACAGTTATGACTACTGTATATTTCCTTCCATCCTATTTTTTCTCCTTTTTATACTTTTCTCTCCTTTCATCCTGTCCCTCCTCACCACTGTTTTGCTTCTTACCACCACCTCACCCAATCTGGCCTCACTTCTCTCAGCCCCTCTCCCTTTTCTTTCCCCTTTCCCCTCCTACTTCCCTATACGGTAAGATCGATTTCTCTACCCAACTGAATGTGTATGTTATTCCCTTTTTGAGTCAAATCCAATTAGAGTAAGGTTCAAACAATGCTCACCCCCCTCCCTTGTTTCCCTCTATTGTAATAGGTCTTTTATACCTCTTCATGTGATATAATTTAGCCCATTCTGCCTCTCTCTTTCCTCTCCTCTCAGTACAATCCTTTTTTTCACCTCTTATTTTTTTTATCACCTCTTATTTTTTTTATCATCACATCAAAGTCAACTTATACCCACATCCTGTCTAAGTATAGTCCTTCTAACTGCCCTAATAGAGATACAGTTTTTAAGAGTTACAAGGTATCATCTTCCTATGTAGGGATGTAAACAGTTTAATCTCATTGAATACCATGGGTTTCTTTCCTGTTTACCTTTTTATGCTTCTCTTGAATCTTCTATTTGGAGATTGAATTTTCTGTTCAGCTCTGGTCTTTTTATCAGGAAAGTTTGAAAGCCCCCTATTTCATTGAATGTCCACATTTTCCCCAGAAAGATTATGCTCAGTTTTGCTGGGTAGTTGATTCTTTCTTGTAATTCAAGCTCTTTTGCCTTCTGGAATATCATATTCCAAGCCCTCTGATCCTTTAATGTAGAAGCTGCTAAGTGCTGTGTAATCCTGACTGTGGATCCTTGATATCTGAATTGTTTCTTTCTGGCCCCTTGCACTACTTTCTCTTTAACCTGATAGTTCTAGAATTTGGCTACAACATTCCTTGGAGTTTTCATTTTGGGATCTCTTTCAGGAGGTGATCAGTGAATTCTTTCAATGACTATTTTACCTTCTGGTTCTAGGATATCAGGGAAGTTTTGCTTGATAATTTCTTGAAAGATGCTATCCAGGGTCTTTTTTTGATCATGGCTTTCAAGTAGTCCAATGATTCTTAAATTATCTCTCCTGGATCTATTTTCCAGGTCAATTGTTTTTCCAGTGAGGCATTTTACATTTTCTTCTATTTTTTTTTCATCCTTTTGATTTTGTTTGACTAATTCTTGAGGTCTCATAGAGTCGTTAGCTTTCATGCCCAATTCTACTTTTTAAGTTATTATTTTATTCAGTTAATTTTTGTACCTCTTTTTCCATTTGGCTAGTTCTACTTTTAAAGGGGTTGTTTCCCCCCCACCCCCCATTCAGCCAATTCTATTTTCTAAGGAGTTTTTTCTTCAGTCAATTTTTGTGCTTCCTTTTCCAGGCTATTGACTCTTTTTTTCATAGCTCTCTTGCATAACTCTCATTTTTTTCCCCAATTTTTCTTTTACCTCTCTTACTTTATTTTTAAAATCTTTTTTTTTTTTGGCTCTTCCAAGAGGACTTTTTGGGCTTGAGCCCAACTCATATTATCCTTTGAGCCTTCCATGTAGGCATTTTGATCTTCCCTGTCACCATAGTAGCTTTCTATGCTTAGTGCTCTCTTTTGTTTTTTGCTCATTTTCAAAAGTTGAGCTCTGCTCCAGGGGTACAGGGGTCACTGTCCCAATCTTCTTGCACTGAGGGCCAGGGGCCTGGTCACTGGCTTTGTGCACTGGGGCCTCTGGGGCTGATGGCTTCCCCATTGTGCTAGGGTGGCCCAGCCTTTTGCTCCTATTGTGCCCTGGGTTCCAGGGCTGGCAGTTTGCCTGCTGTGCTGGGGCTGAAGGCCTCACAGCTGGCCTGCTATACCAGTGCCTTGCTGAGCCAGAACCACAGAGCCTATGGCACTGATTTGTGCTGTGGCTAAGAGCTTCCTGTTGGTTTGCCCGGATACTACCTACACTGGCCTGCGCTCCCCTTTTACTCAAGAGAGATAGACCTTTCCTGAAGTCCTAAGTTAACTTGGGTGGGAAAATTGTTTCACTCCATCTTTTCATAGATTCTGTCACTCCAGAATTCTTTTTGAGGCTTGATTTAATGTTGTTTCTGAGGGAAACTGGGGAGAACTCAGACAACTTCCTGGCTTCTCTCTACCATTTGGATCTATCTCAATGTTGTTTTAACTTTAAAATAATAACTGGTAAGGATAGAGTGGAATATTTGTGAGAATATTATGTCAAATTGTTCATCACATTATAGCTGGGAATTTGCTGGCATAGTCATTTGCAAGTTAGTAATTTTCTTCTTAGGCACTAACTGGCACCTTAGGGTATGACTGCCAATTTAAGACTTTCTAATCATTCTCATAACTGAATTCAGATTAGTACATAATTTGGTCATATTCCCCCTCTTTTTATGCTATTTCCTACCAACTAAACTCCAGTTTATCTCTAATTGCTTAATCTGACCTTGGTTTAAGGAGAAACTTTTAGCTTTTGTTTTGTTTTTTGTTTTGTTTTTAAAGTTTCACTTGGACTGTCAATTATACACAATTTTGCTTGTCTTCCCCATTCACAGGTTTCCTTGTGATGCTGGCTTGTAAAGTGCTGTTTATGGCTCCAACTGTCCTAGTAAAAATAACTATCTGTGATTACATCCTGCTAACCACATCTAAAGTTCCTACACCTTGGCATGGCAGAAGATTGCTTTTTTTCTCCTCTGGATACTGTTTTTCTCTGAAGTACACTGGATTTCCAGTCAAGAGAGTCAAAAGTAACTGAGGCATGTCTTGGTGATAGGAGGACAGCCTGATTATCTTTGAAGGGTCAAGAGACCCTTAAAGCTTCTCCTGAGGACTCCCCACAACTGAAACTATTTCTTATTACTTAGAACTATACAGATTAGTTATCTCCACACTGGGTCAGCACATTTATACAGAGCCATTTAAATAAGTTATATGTGTCTAATGGTAGTCATCATGGGGGGAGGAAGAGATTTATATAATAACTTTATTACATATTTAATTTTAATTTTTTTATTTTTAGGCAATTGGGGTTAAGTGACTTGCCCAGGGTCACATAGCTAGTAAGTGACAAGTGTTTGGTCTGAGACTGGATTTGAACTCAGGTCCTTCTGACTCCAAGGCCGGCACTCTATCCACTGCGCCACCTAGCTGCCTTTTTTATTACATATTTAATAAGAACAGTGAGTAGTACATAATAGATTTGCTGTTTCATATGCACTCATCTTTTTTTTTGTTATACTATGTTATGGAAATGCTTGTTTTACTCCATAAATTAAAATAAAATAAAATTTTAAAAGTTGATATGGCTTCCTCATGCCAATTTTTTTTAACTGTAAATACTACCCTCCACCCCCCAACCCCCTGTGCCCCTGAATAATGACTGCATTCTTCCTAAATCTGGAATCTGGTTACAGGTATGCTTACCATTGGGATTTTTCTCCCCCAAAGGTATACTGAAAGACTTTTTAACTTATTAGATAAGTTTGGAGTCTACAACCAGTCTCCCTGATAAAGGCCTTATTTCTAAAGTATATAGAGAATTAAGTCAAATTCATAAGAATACAAGTCATTCTCCAATTGATAAATGGTCAAAGAATATGGGAGGCAGTTCTCAGATGAAATTAAAGCCATCTATAGTCATATGAAAAAATGCTCTAAATCACTATTGATTAGAAAAATGCAAATCAAAACAACTCTAGGGTACCACATCACACCTATCAGATTGGCAAAGATGACAAAACAAGAAAATGATAAATGTTGGAGAAGATATGGGAAAATTGGAACACTAATGCATTGTTGATGGAGTTGTGAAATGATCCAGCCATTTTGGAGAGCAATTTGGAACTATGCCCAAAGCGCTATAAAAATGTGCATACCCTTTGACCCAGCAATAGCACTTCTAGGGCTATATCCCAAAGAAATCATGCAAATGGGAAAAGGACCCACATGTACAAAAATATTTATAGCAGCTTTTTTTTTGTGGTGGCAAAGAATTGGAAATTGAGAGGATGCCCATCTATTGGGGAATGGCTGAGCAAGTTGTGGTATATGAATGTAATGGAATACTATTGGGCTATAAGAAATGATGAACAGGCTGACTTCAGAAAAATCTGGAAAGACCTGTATGGTCTGATGCTGAGTGAAGTGAGCAGAACCAAGAGAACGTTGTACACAATAACAACCATGTTGTGTGATGACTAGTATTGATAAACTTAACCCTTCCCAGCAATACAAGGATCTAAGACATCTCCAAAGGCCGCATGATGGAAAATGCTATCCACATCCAGAGAAAGAACTATGGAGTTTGAATGCAGATCTAACCATACTACTTGCTATTTTTTTTTCTTCTGTTTTGTTTTGTTTCCTCTTTCTGGTGGTTTCTCCTATTGGTTCTAATTCTTACTTACAACATCACTAATGTGAAATGTTTAATAGGAATGTATATGTATAGCCTATATCAGACTGTGCACGTCTTGGGGAGGGTGGGGGAGAAAAATTTTAAACTCAAAAGCATATGGAAGTGATTGTTGATAAATCAAAATAAATTAATAAAAAAAGAGATAAGTTTGGAGTCCTCTGATCTCCCTATTGCCTCATTACCAACCATTCACTTTCAAAATTCCTTTATTTATTTAAACAAAGCTTCCTAGTTCACTTTCCAAAGTCATTCCTGCTTTCCTCCAAGCTGCATGTGGCATTGGGAGAAGTGAGGCCAAGCCTGCTTGCCAGAGAAGAGGCCAAAGTGCTTTAACCACATCTTGAAGATGGCATTGAGTCTCAGAGGACCACTACAGGAATGATTTGGGTTTCGGAGCCTCAGGCTGGGTTTTAGTGTACGCGTCAACAGTGCTGGGGTTCCTGTGTCGGTAGTAGGGACCATAGTCCATCTTGTCCCTTATGGTCTTTTGCCCTTCTTCCTCTGGTGGTATACCCAGGTCGGTGGAAGCTCGAGTAACGATGATTTGGGGAATAACAAAGGTTTTCGACTTGTGCTGTTTACCTAAAGGGAGGGGAGTGGAGGGAAATCTAAGCATTATTCAAGCAAACAGAGAACTCCTGTATGTTAACAATGGTAACTCATTATACCATCTTAATAATGGCTCTGCCTTAAACTAATTACGTGTATTGCCTGACTCCCCACCAAGGGAGGGGTCACTCATAAGCCTGGACCTACACAGTATCTTGGAGTTGTAGTAATCACTCCTCACTCACACATAGCCTACAAACTTGTGAATGTCAAGCTTGGAGAGAAGCCAGATTGGGTGCTACTCTGGTATGTTTTTTTTTTTTATCATAAAAATGCTTTAACTTTAAAATATAAATGGTAATATATAACTGGTTAGGACTGATTTAGGTTTCTGTTTCAGTGTGTGTGTGGATAATGCTGGGGTTCCTGTGACTAATGACTAAATGACAATGACTAAGGGTGTTTGACAGGTGCTTGGTTAGCTGTGCTTTCCCTTTCCAGGCCTTTGATCACTGGGTTCCTCTCATCAGGAATGCCTTCCTTCCCTCTCTTCATCTTCTAACCTTCTCCTCATTCTTGAAAGTGCAGCCCAGAAACCACCTCCTCCATGAAAACTTCCTGGATCTTCCCAGTTGGTGACAACCCCCCACCTCATATAGAAGTTGTTCTGTTCCTTCCTAATACATGGTATAGCAGACAGAGCCCGGGCTCTGTTGTCAAGGGAATAGGTTCAAATCCTGCCTTCTTGGGTAACCTTGGTCATTTAAACTCCCTACGTCTCCCTTCCTCAACTGTAAAATGGAGGGTCAGGGGTGGACTTAATGAATTCTGAGATCCCTTCCAGCTCCACCTCTAGGAGCTTATCGAGGGAATGTTGTGTTGAGTAACAGAGGAGCTACGTCTGTATCCTCAGTGTTTTCCAGGGCCATTTCTTATCCAAACTTCATACTCCCTTTACTCAGTGGACATTGAAATGTCTAGGGTATTCTGAATTACTTTGACGGTGGCATGTTTCTTTTCCTTTTGTACATTTTATGCAAATATTTATCAAGCACCTATGGTGTGTGTGCGTGGAGTATGGTGATTACTAAACAGATGTGAAACTAGCCCCCTTGCAGTCACGAAGTGGTTGAAAAGGCAATTTCACTGAATCCAGTTGTTGGGGGGCAGATACCCTGGGACACCGCTAGGCTCCTTCACGGGGCTGCTTCAGGGAGTCTGACAGCAAAGGATGGGGAGGTAGGGGGAGCAGACAGGAGCCCGCCACGTCTCCGACCCCTTCCTCCCACAAGGGGACCCTTGGAAGGGTCGTCTTCTTGCTAGGCAGGCACTAAATTCAGTTGTTTCTATGCTGCTCAAGGACTAAAAGTGCTGTGAGTGACTCTAAATTTGGATGTCCTGAACGAAGCCACGATGGACCTGCCCTAGTTAGAACATTGTGAAACGAATGGATAAAAAAGTCAAGCAGACTCTCCCGCAGATGACATACAGACATGACAAAACTAATCCGAGGGAAACTCAATGATGTGAATCGCAATGAACACAATGCTATAGGAAACTTTAAACAACCTAAACACGTATTCATAGTTAACATTTTAAAAATTACTTTGAACTTTCACGTTTCTGTAACAATTGGTGAGTTCCTCTTGGAAACATAGACCCTGAGCCAGAAGGGACCTCAGGAACCATGGAGCCCGATGCCCTCGTTTTACAGATGAGGAATCTGAGACCCAGGACAAGTATTAAGCGACAGAGGGTGGGACTGAAACTCAGCTCCTCTGACCTCCAGAGCTGGCGCAATTTCTTTCTTCCTCTTTAAAAAAAAATCCTTTTTTGAGGGGGAACTTGATAATTATCCATAAACACAAACATTTCAGTATACACAGAAGAACAGAAAAGTAGATTGTATGAGAAATTGTGAATTTCTGTTATATTGCTTTTTAAAAAGAAACGTATACGTACATTTTTATTAAATTTGACATAGTAATATGATTGTCCTATTTGTGCCTCCTTCTGTATTTTTTGTTTTCTTCTGTCCATTTAAATAATGTTTTATTGATTTTTTTTGTATGTCTCTCACTACCAATGAACCCTTTCTCCACCTCCCCCCATTGTAACAAATATATACAATCGAGGAAAACAACACATTGGCTGTGCCTGAGAAGGCCTTCTCATTCTACAGCTAGTCCATATTGTCCCTTCCATTTGGGTCCCCTTCCACTCTCTGGATTTGTTGATCCCTCCTTATGTGGCACTTGGTGATAGAGGACTGGTGCTCCAAAGAGAAGTTTGGGCTAGATATGCAAATTTGGCATCTTCTGTGTTGAGGTGATCACTGAACCCAAGAGAGTTGATAAGATTGACAAGTGAGAGGGTAAAGAGAGAGAAGAGAAAAGGAATCAGGATAAAGCCTCGAGGGATCCCCACAGTTAGAAGGCAGGATGTGGCTAATGATTCAATGAAGAAGACGAAGAAGGAGGGGTCAGAGAGAGAGGAGGAAAACCAGGAGGGAGCAGTATCCTGGAAGCCAAGAGATGAGAGTATCCAGGAGGCGGTTTACAGTGTCAAAAACTTTAATGAAGTCAAAGAGAATGAAGACTGAGGAAATACCACTGGATCTAGCATGTAAGAGATTATTGGTGACCTCGGAGAGGCAATATCAAAGGAGTAGTGAGGTGAGGAAGTGGATTATATCACACTCATGAGGGCAGATGGCTGTTTCTAGGAATCTGGCTGTGAAAAGGAAGAGAGATGCAGGATAAGAACTTGAGAGGCTGGTAGTAGGACCAAGGGAGTTTTGTTGAAGGATAGAGAGAACCAGGCATGTTTGTAGGCAGTGGGGAAGGAGCCAATAGATAAGGAGACATCGAAACTGGAGAAGAGTGAGGGGATGAGTCCTTGAGGAGACAGCAGGGGATGAGACAGAAGGCGCAAGATGAGGTGCTGGCCTAGGAAAGGAGAAAGACCAACTCCACCTCAGAGCCTGGAACAGATGAGAAAAGCAGGAGGATTTTGTGGGTGGTTTGAGAGGTTTGGAGAGGAGAGAAAAGGGAGCTCATGATGGAGAACATCAATTATTTCTGGTCAACTTGCAGAGAGAGGGAGAGAGGGAGAGAGGGAGAGGGAGAGAGGGAGAGAGAGAGATGAGGATCTGAAAGATCTGAAAGAGACAATGTAGGGATTATGTGAATCTACTGGGGAAGAAGAAAAGGATTACTCCAAGAAATAGTGAGGGCACAGTTGATTTCATGGAAGATAATTTCTCATGGAACCATTTTGCAGGATAGTAACTTCCTTCAGAACAGGAACAGAGAAGCCAGACGTTGGGGACAACCCAGGCTTGGGGTCTGGCAGGCACGGCCAGCAATAGCACAAGAGATTCTGGGGTAGTGGAGAGGGTCTAGTTGCACTGGTTCCCTCAATGGAGCAGAAAGCAGGATGAAGTCAGAGAAGGCAGTGATGGAACACGGAAAGACTTAGGGATTGGAGCTCTCAGTGAGGATGAAGAACAGATTTAGGAGGCAGGCAGAAGGAGAGATGGAAGGATAAGAAATGATGATGATGAGAGAAATTTCAGAGTGTTGGCTGAGATGGAGGAAAGGTATATTCAGGATATTCATGAACAGGAAGGCCAGTGGACATTAATGTCTTTCCATCAAGAAACACAGGCAGTGGCTGGGGCAGAAAGGGAGATCGTGAACTAGATACCTAACACCTTGAGAAAGGAGGGAGAATGACCTGGGGGGAAGTAGATTAATGCCAAAAAGGTCTTGATAGGGTAGTATATAGATGGCAGAAATGAACCTCAAAGGAAGGGGGTTGCTAAGCATTGAAGCAGCACATGCCTATGTTCCTGACTACTAGGTGAGGCTGAGATTGGTGAACTGCTTGAGCTCAGGAGTTCTGAGCTGCAAATGGAGTTAAAGCTGATTGGATGTCTCTACTAGTCTGGAAGCAACATGGTGAGCATGCGTGTGTGTGCGTGTGTGTGTGTGTGTGTGTGTGTGTGTGTGTGTGTGTGCGCGTGCGCGTGGAGGGGTACCAGGCTTCCAAGGGAGGGGGCAAAGTCAGCCCATGTTGGAAACATACAGGGTCAAAGCTTCTATGCCGATTAGTGGTAGCTGCTGCGCTTCTAGCCTGGGCAAGATGGGGAGACCCAATCTCAAAAAAAACCAGAGGGAAGAATTAGGAGTGGAAACAGGGGGCAAAGAAGAAGCCTCCTCCTCCTCCTCTTGGCCCAGGGAATGAGGCAGGACACAAGAGAAGGCTCCCCCAGTCTCAGAGATGAGGGCCATGGATATGGTGTCTTCTACTGGGAGCCAATTTGAGGAATGCAAGAAGATGGAAGGAAGGTAAGAGAAAAAGGTCTAAGATGAAGGGAAATTTGTTAGTGGCAGATTAGGAGTTCCCCAGAGCCCAATCACCACTTCCATCTATGTGAAATCTCCACTATCTGTCCTTTCTTTCTGTTCTCTTGGGAACCACCCTGGTTCAGGACCTCAGTTATCCTTTCTACCTCCAGGCTGCTTCTTCAATCCTTTCCCAAGTCATCTTCCTAGGCACCCTCTGATCACATTACTCTTCTAGTCAAAGTCTCCAGTGACTCCCCTCTGTTCATTGAACTCAGGATAAATTGCTTCTCCTGGCAGTCAAGGCCTTCTATCATCTGATCCCTTTCAAGTTTTTTATCTGTTCTCATCATGGCCTCTTGTGGCCCTGTGTGCCCTTGTTCAAAGCCACTTTTGAACACAGTACTTTCCTATCTCATTTCCACAGGCTGAAGTCCTTCCTTCAGGGGCAGCTAGTTGGCACAGTGGATAAAGTGTTGGGTCTGGAGTCAGAAAGATCTGAGTTCAAATTCTGTCTTAGACACTACCGGTGTGACCATGGGCAAGTCACTTTAACTCTGTCTGCTTGAGTTTTCTCATCCATAAAATAGGATGCAATAGCACCTACCTCCCCAGGGTTGTTAGGAGGATGAAATGAGATAATATTTGTAAAAATGCTTACTTATCATAGTGCCCAGCACATAGTTGGTGCTATGTAAACGTTTATTTCCCCACTTCCCTTTCAAGGATCAATTCTAATAAGCTACCTCTTCTGTGAAACCTCCCCAAATCTTTCCGGTAAAAAGCAACCTAAATATGTCTCCTCAAAATTCTTTTAGCACATTGTCCAGAGATCTCCTTTGTACTCTTCATCACACTCCTTTTATATTAAGATGATCTGCATAAATGTCTTCTCCTACCACCCCATACATTACTTAGATTGTATAGCCCTTGAAAACAGGGTCAGGGTCATATGTGTCCCAAAGCTTTCCATCTTAGTTGCTTTACAATATTTGTTGAAATTAAATCCAAAAGATATGCCTTCCACCCTAGCCATATCCTTCTTGAAGAGACCCCCTTTTAGATGTTGCCTACCAGTTTCACTAATACTCCGTGGAGATTTCAAACTTGTTTTTATAGATCCATGAATGCTGGAAGTATTGGAACTAGAGCTAGGCCGGCTGCTTGTTGACCTGTCCGCATGTCTGTCCTGACTCTTACTCTTGGTTTTCCGAATTGAAGAGCTGGACTTACCTGGAAACAAACAAAGGAGTAATTGGAAGATAAATAAATAATTGGATGAAGGCAATGAATAATTTGCCTCTTCTGTTCCCCAGTGACATCCACCAATGGAGTAGCCAATCAAGGCAACTGCGGAAGAAATGGTTATTTCTTTTCAGAAACACGTGACTATTTGCATGGAAATAGCACATGAAAAAAAACAGTCAGGTTTGCCACTAGCAGCAATGACAGTAATGGATGGAAGTCAGAGTGGCTTCAGAGAGTGGCCTGATGTAAGGAAAACCTTCCCAACCACTAAGAACTCCATAAAACGAACTGGGCTACCTTGGAAGCCTGGCCTCTCACTGGAGGTCTTTAAGCAAAGTCTGTATGACTACCTATCAAGTATATTGTCGGGGGGATTTTTATCTAACTGTGGGTTGGAGTAGCTGACCTTCCAACTCTGAGCTATTGCTCTCTGCCAAAAAGAGCATGGTTTTGTCGACTGGACTGAGAGCTGGGTCTTAGGGACTCATTCTCCATTTCATTCACTGTGTGTGGCAGGTGACTTCCTCTCCTCCTCCTCTTGGCCCAGGGAAAAGTAAAAACACTTTTGCTATCCTTCATCACATCCCATACTTTAAAAACATCAATTTTACATGAACTTTGTAAGCCTAAAAAAGGTCACAAGAATGTTATTATTATAGATATTATTTTCTGTCCTGGTGATTTCACTGATTTGGGAAACTCCCAGTGTGAGAATTTCCTCTACTGATGCAGATGAGTAACTTTTCTCTAGCTTAGAGTCTTCAAGAGTGGCTTGGGCTGTGAAGGGTTAAGTGAAATCACAATTATAGAGAATGAGAGGAGACCTTGGAGGACGTCCCGACAGCAAGGCTAGCCTTCAAATCACTTTGCCACACTCTTCTTAGTAGAGAAAGTTTGGGGAGAGATTGGCTCCTGATTCTCAATCCTCATCAGGGCAATTCAACAAACATTTATTAATCATATGTAGGGAGCTGTCCTAAGTGCTGGGGATAGAAGGACAACTCACATTCTCTAGGAGGCATACAGTGTGTGCACAGATAAATAAAATCAAGAGAATTTGAGAAGGAAGAGAACAATCGCCACTAGGCTTAGGAAACCCTCCAAGAAGGACATGATGCCTGAGATGATTCTTGAAGGAAGCTAAGAAGGGAGTGCAGGGAATGTATTCTAAGAGTGAAGGATGTCTGTGTGCTGAGATGTGGAGGACATGGAATACCCACTTCTGGAAACAGGAAGTAAGGCAACCTGGCTGGGATGTGGGAGGTGTAAAGGGAAATAATATGAAATGTCTTGAAAAGGAGGCTGGAGACATACTATTTTGTTGTCTTTGTTCAGTCGTTTCATCATATCCAACTCTTTGGGATCCCATGGACCATGGGACACAAGGCCTTTCCATCTTCCACTATCTCTCAAAGTCTGCCTGAGTTGTTTCCATTACACTATCTATCCATTTTATCCTGCCATTCTCTTTTCCTTTTACCTTCAATCTTTCCCAACATCAGAGTCTTTTCCAATGAATCCTGTCTTCTCATAATGCAGCCAAAGTATTTAAGCTTCTGTGTTTGACCTTCCAATGAATAGTCTGAATTAATTTCTTTTTAAGTATTGACTGATTTGATCTCCTTGCTGTCTAAAGGACTCTCAAAAGTCTTCGCTAGCACCATAATTTGAAAGTGTAGATTCTGCAATGCTCAGCTTTCTTTATAGTCCAACTCTCACAGCCATACGTTGCTACTAGAAAAACCACAGCTTTAACTATATGGATATTTGTCAGCAAGGTGATATCTGTGCTTTTTAGTGGGCTGTCTTGATTTGCCATAGTTTTCCTTCCAAAGTGCAAGTATCTTTTAATTTCATGGCTACCATCTGCAGTGATCTTTGTGCCCCAAAATATAAAATCTGACCCTGCTTCCATTTCTTCTCCGTCTATTTGCCAAGAAGTGATGGGACCAGTAGCCATGATCTTAGCTTCTTTGACATTAAGCTTCAAGCCAGATTTTACACTCTCTTCTTTTACTCTCATCAAGAAGCTTAATTCCTCTTCACTTTCTGTCACAGAGTGGTATGATCTGCACATCTGAGATTGTTGATATTTCTCTCAACAGCCTTAATTCTGGATTTTTATTTGTTCAGCCTGGCATTTCGCATGACATACTCTCTATATGTTAAATAAATATGGAGACAAGAACATACAGCCTTATGGGACTCCTTTCCCAATCTTAAATCAATCAGTTCCACGTTCAGTTCTAACTGTTGCTTCTTGACTTGCATACAAGTTCCTCAGAAGACAAGTAAGATTATCTGGTACTCCCATCTCTTTGAGGACTGGCCACATTTTACTGTGATCCACACAGTCAAAGGTTTCAGTGTAGTCAATGAAGTAGAAGGAGTTTTTTTTTTTTTTTTCTGGAACTCCCTTGCTTTCTTGTTGGCAATTTAGTCTCTAGTTCCTCTGCCTCTTGGAAAACCAGCCTGCTCTTCTGGTAATTCTTGGTCCGTATATTGCTGAAGCTTAGATTGCATAATCTTAAGCATAACTTTGCTGACATGTGAAATAAATATAATTGTTCAGTAATTTGAATATTCCTGGCATTGTCCTTCTTTAGGATTGGGAGGTAAACTGATCTTTTCTAATCCAGTGGCCACTGTTGAGTTTTCCAAATTTCCTGGCATATTGAGTGCAGCACTTTAATAGCATCATCTTTTAGGATTTTAAATAGCTCATCTGGAATTCTGTCATTTCTACTAATCTTATTGTTAGCAATGTTTCCTAAGGCTCACTTAACTTCATTCTCCAGGATGTCCGGCCCTAGATCAGTAACCATACCATTGTAGTTATCAGAGATGTTAAGATCTTTCTTATATAGTTCTTTTGTGTATTCTTTCCATCTCTTCTTAATCTAATCTACTTCTGTTAAATCCCTACCATTTTTGTCTTTTATCATGCCCATTTTGCATGAAATTTTCCCTCAATATCTCTAATTTTCTGAAAGAGATCACTTGTCTTTTCCATTCTATTGCTTTCTTCTATTCCTCTGCATTGCTCATTTAAGAAAACATTATCTCTCCTTGTTAATCTCTGGAATTCTACATTCAGTTGGGTATATCTTTCCCTTTCTCAGAAGAGGTAAAAAAAACCTTTTCACTTTCCTTCTTTCCTCAGTTGTTTGTAAAATCTCATCAGATTCTAATTTTGCTTTCTTGTTCTTTTTCTTTGGAATGGGTTTTTTTTTTCTTTGTGATTGCCTCTTGTACAATAATACCTTGTGGTGGAGGGGTTTGCATAGCTCAATGAATCAATGAGCTATGCTGTGCAGAGTTACCCAAGAAGGACAGGTCATAGTGGAAAGTTCTGACAAAAAGTGATTCACTGGAGAAGGAAATGGCAAACCACTCCAGCATCTTTTCCAAGAAAACTCCATGGACAGTATTAAAATGACAAAAGATATGACATGGGAAGATGAGCCCTTCAGGTCAGAAGGTAAGAGTGGAGGACAACTACAAGCTCCCATCTTCTACAGGAAGCCTTTCCTTATGCTAGTGTCTTCTCTACATTACTTCCTATTTATCTTGTATATAGCTTCTTTGTATGTATTTGTTTGTTTTTTGTCTCCCCCACTGGATTTGTGGGCTCCTTCAGGGCAAGGACTGTATTTTACCTTTCTCTGTATTCTCAGTGCTTAGCACAGTGCCTCACAGAACATAGCAGGCATTGACTAAATGCCTATTAATTAAATTACCAATGACCAGTTAATTACCAAATTGTTGGCTTTTTCTCAGTCTTCATCCTTCCTGAGTTCTCTGAAGCTTTTGACACAGTAGATCACTCTTTTCTCCTGGCTGCTCTCCTCTCTATTATGAAACAGCAGCCTTTTCCTGGTTTCTCCTCCTCCCTAACTACTCTTCCTCAGTCCCCTTCACTGGATCTTATCTTCCTCTAGGTCTGGCCCACTAACTGCTGGCATCTTTCAACAGTCTGCCTTGGCCCTTCTCTTTTCTTCGTCTATGCTGTCTTGGTTGGTGATCTTGGCTCTCATGGATTCACTGATCATATCAATGTAGATGATTCCCTGACCCGTATCCAGCTCTAACCTCTCTTCTGAGCTCCGGACCCAAATCACCAACTTTCTTTTGGACATTTCAAGTGGGATGTCTAGTAGGCATCTTAAACTCAATAGAGAACTCACCATCTTTTTCACAAAATTAAAAAAAAACCCTCCATTCTTTCTAACTTTCCTATTACTGTTGAGTGTACCACTGTTCTCCCAGACACCTTGCTTACAACCTTGGTGTCACCTTTGACTCCCCACTCTCACTCATCCTAAATATCCAATTTGTTGTTTTCTGCCTTCACTTGCCTGTTACTGTTTCCTTCTCTCTACCTGCACAGTCACTACCCTAATGCAGGCCATATTACCTCATATCTACACTACTACAGCAGCCTTCTGGTTAGTATCCCTACTTACAATCTTTCCTCAGTCCAATCTATGCTCCATTCACTCAATAGCCAAGTGATCTCCATAAAGCCCAGCACTGAGTGACACTTCTCCCGGACTCAGTAATTAATTCAGTGTCTCCCAATTCCAGCATCAAATCAAGAAGCATTTATTAAGGGCTTACTATATATAAAATGCTCTCTTTGGTATTTAAAGCCCTTCATAATCTGAGATCTTACCAATCTTTTTACCTAACTGCTTTTCATATACCCTATTTGCTATAGCCTACCTCTTCCTCATACACAACACTCCATCCACTGACTCCATTCCTTTTTTTTTCCAATTAAATTTTTTTCTCTCTTCATTTCCTTGCTTTGGAGAAAACAGGCTTTGCCTTGTGACAAATAGGTGGTCAAGCAAAACAAATTTCTATATTTGCCATATCCAAAAAATGTTTCTCATTTGTTCCCCGAGTCTGGAATGCCCGCCTTTTCAGCCTCCTGGCTTCCCCCGCCTTCTTCAAGACTCAGTTCTAATTTCATCTCTGGGGAAGGTCTTTCCAAGACACTTCCCTCCCCCAGTGCTTTTCCTCTGCCTATATTTTGTATGTACCTATAGTATGCCTGTATTTTTATGTATGTTGTCTCCTCCATTAGAATGGGAGCTCCTTAATGGCAGGGACCACGTTCTTGTCTTTCTTGGCATGGACCCAGTGCTCTGCCCAGCCTACAGTATACAGTAAGTGCTTAATAAGTGCTTGTTGACTGGTGCCCAGCACAAAGTTTGGGGGAGAAGAGTCTTCTCCACGCGCTCTATGGGCAGGGGCCAGCCAGCTGGGGCTGGGGGGGGTCCCCTGGGGAGGAGGGGGGGCGGGTGGGCCGGGGCATTCTTTTTACCTGAGGAGCCTTTGCTTTTGCTAAGTCCCATAAGTGGGTTCATCCATGCCTCCTCACCGCGAGCTCCGTCTGCGTCCCCGCCCTCTCCTCCACCCCAGCCCTCTTTACTATCGCCTCTACCAAAGGCCGGGCCAGTGTGACTCACAAATGAGCCCCGGCATCATCATCGCCCCGGCTGGGTGGGGCAGCTGGGCCCCACTGGGTCAGGGAGCTCCTGGACCTCAAAGACTGCCCGGAGCCCACGGGGAGGACCCGCCCATCGGGCAGGACCCGCCCACTCCGGGGCACTGGCCTCTCCTTGGCCCAGCCCCGCGGAATTGGGCGGGGCGCACCCTCATCACGTGGCTCGGAATAGCCCTCTGGAGATGGACCGGGGAATGGGGCAGAGGGAAGGGGCGGGGCGAGTCCCGCGCCGTCCTCTCGCGAGAAGAGAGGCGCGGCACCTGGAAGGGCATTCCCGGAAGTGCCGTCTGGGGCGCCGCGGGTCGGCCGGGGTCGCAGACGTTGGCTGCTGACAGCCCCCTCCCCGCCCAGCTCCCCTCCTCTGCCCCAGCCCAGTGGCTTCTGAGGCGCCGGCGCCGCTGCCCGTTCGCCATGGACGGTAAGAGACCGCCCTCAGCCTGGCCCGCGGCTGAGGAAGTTTAACGTTGGGGGGCGGGGAACGGCCTCCGTGTCCCCTCGGACCCGGCTCTGCGGCGAGGCACCACCCCTTTCCCCTTTACCTCAGGGTTCCTCTCTGCGGCCGGGGACTGGGGGTGGGAACAGTGATGCGAGGGAAGGGGGCGTGGTGGGACCCTTCCCTTCAGTGGGGAGCCCGGCCGGGGGCGCCAGGCCTGGTGTCCGTCCTCCACACGTCATCTTCTCGCTTCGATTGTAAGCTCCCTGAGGGCAGGCACTGGGTCTGCCCGCCTTTGGCTCCCCGGTGTTTAGCCAGGTGTCTGGTACATTATAGGTGCCTAAAAAAATGTTGATTGATTGATTGTAGAATATGAACGGCCCTTAGAGTTGTTTCTTACCCCATTCCCACAATCTTCCAGCCACACGTGGGGATGTTAGAGAAGCTGTTCTCAGGTACCCCCGGGACTGGATGATTTGTGTGGACATTTGCAATTCTGTGGCTCTGAGTTACCAGACTCCATTTCTGAGGCCTGACCCAGGTGCAGCAGACATCCTCCCTCCCCCTAAAATAGTGCCATATGCTTGTAGGATACGCGAGATAGCTTTTACCTCTCGATGGGTGCAAATCACTGCTTGTGGCGGTAAGTTTTGGGGAGATACAAAATAATACGCAACAGAAATTTACTAAGCGCCTACTGTGTGCTGAGGTCATCAGAGGCCATCTAAATCCAGTCTGTACCTGAGCACCATCTTTAATAAGTAGACCCTCATTGCTGAGGGAAGAGCTTATAGTTTAGTCTTATTTAAAGGCATAAATACAGCTAACAGATATTGTTCATAAGAGGTAAACGTGAAAAATCAGGGACACTAAGGGAATCACAGAATATCAGAGTTGGGAGGGATTTCAGCAATTATCTATTTCAACTCTTGACTGAACATGAATTCTTTTTACAACATTACTGATAACTTTTTGCAATAGAAGCCTGACTTTAAAAAGACAGAAAGCTGTTTTTCCCAAAATGCTCAGAGGCCTGAATGAGGGTTTTAAGTGCTGTCTGATTCCTAAATTTCCCAATCCTGTGTCAGTCACATAGCAATGCATGCAGTATTAATGCGTCATGATAACTTAGTCCAAACCCAGTTTTGTTTTCACTTTTAGAATGTGTATTAATAACATTTTAACTCACTTTAATTTTTCTATATATCCTTCTACCCCTGGAGCCATCCGTTTAGCAAAGACTAAAAAAACACAAAGAAAGAAAGCAATACAACTAAACTAACCAATACATGAACTGAGTATGGCAGTGTATGCAATATCTCACATCTGTATGGCCTGGGTTTCCCCTACCTGCCCCTCAAAAGAAAGGAGAGAGGGAGATGCATTATCTCTTTGGGGGGGGGGGGGCGGGTCATGCTTAGTCATGATAAGATTATACACAGCATTCACTTTCATTCCCAAACACAATTTTACTCAACAGTAGTCATTTCCTCTGAGATGAAATCTTTTTCTCCCAAAACAGAATTTTCTTCAATGTTGTAGACCTCTGCTGAGATCACTGCAGTAGTCTGGATGTGGCATTGATTAAGCTGGTTTATATACCTGTGGCAGCTGAAGGCCTCGGACAATGACTATGTTTTATAGATGGCAGAAGCACTTCTGCCAGCACTGTTTGGGAGACTTGAGTTGCAGCAGTAAATTATTTATACCTTCTAAAATTTTTTTTTCCTTATCTGGTAAACAGGGAAAACCCTATGGCTAATATTTCATGTCCGAATGACTTGACAAGTTACTTGTGCATCTCTTTGCAGAAGTGGCCAAAAATGCATGGAGGAGAATAGCCCGAAAACAAAAATCTCATAACCCCACCAAAGCTTCGCTTCCAGCTTTCCAGAATCGGGACTTTCTGGTGCCATAAACACCACCACCCTGCTTTCTTATTCATTTTCCTCTGATCAGAAAGTTTGAAAGGACAATCCAAAGCCAGTGAGACACTCAACATTACCTGTCAACCAACTGGAGACGAGTAGGGAAATCCCCATAATGGGGTACTTTGTAAGACAGGACACCTGGCGTGGTGCTTAATACCTTTGACCTGGCATCAATAATTTCACTTCTTTGGGCTTCAGTTTCCTCATCTGTAAAATGGGGGTGGTGGTGAACAAGATGATCATTTGAAGTTCCTTCTCATTATAACTTTGGAATCCTGTTCAATGTACATATTTATTGATTGACCTTCTCTTAGTTCCATAGCATCAAGAAGCATCCATTCTAAGATATAGCAACCTGTTTGTAAAAAAGCTGTAGTCTTTTAATTTAATCACTTCTAAAATCCTTAAACTGTATTTTTTCTCTTTTCAGATACCCTGTTCCAGTTGAAGGTATGTACTAAAAGGACTTTAGCTCCTTAATGTTGGCCTACTGATTAGTAAATATTCATAGTATAAGTGTCACATACTAGATAAACCTCAAATGATTTGTTGCCACGATGATAAGTTTGTGTGATGCGCTGGCAAAGTTATGCTGCTGTGCTGCTGACAGGAAAGGATTCTTAGTTGGCTTGATGGCTTATTAGTTCTTTTTCTTGTCTGGAGCTGAGCAAAAGGAGGTCAGCTTGACTCACCCAGAAAAGATTGAGCATCTTATCTTTAAGAAACACAACTTAAATGCTGTACTTATCCCTTTGCTTGGCACTCGGTTTCTAGAAGGCAGCCTCAAATCCATTAATATCACATTTGAAAGAGATTTCATGACAGCTGAGCCTTTTCCTTTCACCTGAGTTTTGGCTTTCTTAGTTAAACCAGAGTAGACTTCTACTTACATTTGCTTTTGGTCTCTCCCTGATTATATGTCAGTCAGGCCATCTGGAGGTCATCTCCATCTTGTATCCTCTGGGTTATTTTGGGCTAAAACTTACTGGAGATATCACTGCATGAGTCTTCCTAATCATCTAGGTACTCTCAGGAATACAGTGTGGTTTTTGGATTAGAAAACAGAAGAAAGGATAAGAAACAATAGCAAGATACATCTCTGTCCTTTCTTTGTTCCTTTGTCTTATCCAAGCATTTGCTACCACTAATCCTAGGTTCAAGCAGTTATGGAGTTAGTTTAGCTGCCCTCAGATTAATTAAAGTTCTGAGGTTACTTCAAGATTGGTCAGGGTTAATGACATCTTGTGTAATCAGTTTCCAGTCACCTTCAGAACGAATGAGGTGGTAGGTCTAGATTTTATAGGTACGCACACACTTAAAACAAGCAAGGCATCAAGCATTTATTAAATGCTTACTATGTCCCAGGCACTGTGCTGAGCAACTTAGAAACTATTGTAAGATTCTGTGTCTGGCTTTCTGGGATGCTTTTCTAGCAAGGCCATTAGCATCATTCTTGAAACAAGTTTTGAGATACTTATCTAGGAGTTTCCATATTGTTGAAAACTATATTCTAAAAGCATATGCATTAGAAGCCTTGAGATTGATCATGAATCATTTGAAAACATTTAGCCTCTAAAAATACGACCCTTGAAAAGGGTCACACTTTGAGTGGTGCTATGTACCCTACAGATTGAAGTCAGTGGAAAGAGTATAGGACTTCAAACCGTGAGGCCTGGGCTCTGTTCTAAGCTCTACCACTAAGTTGTTATCAACTTGAGGGAAATATTTTAAGTCTCCGGGCCTCAGTTTCCCCATTTCTTAAATGAGGGGGTTGTACCAGATGATTTCTAACAATCTTTCCTCTTCTAATCTATGAAGAACTAATGACTGGCTTTGTTGGAAGGTGAGACTAGAGAGGAAATGGTATATATCGCACAGGAACCCCGAGCAAGTCATATTTTGTGTGTTCCCCTTTCTTACCCCCCAGCATTTTCACTGGTGAAATCTGTTTAAAATGAACATCAAGTACATCCTTGATCAACAGAGGACCAAGAGCATAGTATGAGAAACAGGAGTGAAGTGTTGCAGGGAAAAGAAATAGTCAGTCAGAGGGAGAATGTCACAAAAGGGCAACTTGCCACCTGAGAGGGATGTGTGAAAAGTAGTTTGTTGCTAAGCAACCAGCCATGGATAGTCCCATCAAATTTGCCTTTGGTGATAGTGGAAGAAAATTGTGTGTGTATATGTGTGTTTATGTGTGTATTCTGAAGATGGAGTTTATTGATTTGTGTGAGCCTCAGGTCTTTTTTTTTTTTTTTTAAACCATTAACTGGCAGTACCTGGAACTTAATGCTGTCTTAAGTCCCTGCCCAGTTCTGTTAATCCTTTGCAAGCAGTTCAAGGCTCCCAAACCTTCTAGGAAGGGGCAGTGCCACAAAGAAAGTTCTGCATAGAAGTTTTTTGGATTATCAGTTTTGTATGTTGACAGCTGCTGTTAAGGTGTCAGAAAGCATTAGTGTAGAGCCCCAGTAGGTGTTGGCTGTTTTAAGAAGTACTTCTCTTTCCTAAAGAACAATTT